CCCCAGTTCTGTATGCACAAATAAATAAATCTTAAAAAAAAAAGTATATATATGGATATATATGGGTGTGTGTGTATCCATACATGCATACACACACACAAATATATATATATGTATATATATATACATATATATATATATATATATATATATATATTAACCTTTCAATATTTGGAGTCCATGAAACTAAGTTTCCCACCAGAAGGAAACATGTTGAAAATATAATGTAAATGTCCAGTTTTGTAAGTTAATCATGATTATGTTGGGAAAAGAACAGTTCTTTATAGATTAAAATAAAGATGTTTTGACTAAAAAAAAATTGTAGTATTAGATTATTTCCTTCTTTGGCTGTTTAGTTTTCAAAACTAAAAAATCTTGGAGGATTTTCTGTACTCCTGTACTTTTCAGTACTCAAGTTGTATCAGTCTGTATCTTTAGGTTTTCCCTCTCAAATAGTATTAGTTCATGTCTCTTCTTTCTGATTCTTTTAATTCAACTTTTAACACATTCATATTATTTTGTTTATTTTAGAAGAGATGGCTAAACTTAAAGTTAACAAGGAGGTAGAACTTGAAGAATTGAAAAAAATACTGGTAAGTAAGTAGTTTCTTATTAATATGTAGCAATTTTCAAAAAAATTATACATTAGTTTTTTTCAATTAAAATATAAAAAATTACATTCATTTTTTTTTAAAGATTTATTTATTTGTACATACAGAAGTGGGGTACACAGGCCAGAGGCTCAGGGGCAGTGAGAGGCTTCACCAGAGACAGAGCGGGGAACAGAACAGGCAGATCTACGAAGTACACTGCTGAGGGGAGCAGTGGGCGGGTCAGGAGAGGTCTGCCACGCCATGTGGTCACCTCCGGGGCAGGCGGGGATCGAACTCATGCGCAAGCGGCTTTAGATTCTCAGTGCTGTGCTGTAACCCACTGCGCCACCAGGGAGGGCCACTTGTATCAATTTTTATAAATCTCGATAATTACCCTAAGGAAGTACTCATATTATTTGAACATGTTTAGACAGTGTAATATATCAAATATACCTCATGTGGCTGACACATAAATTTGGTATGCCTCTGATACCTCTGAGCCTCAAAGCTGTGATTTTGAGAAAGATATGTATGATATATACTGCGCTACAAATTGGGTGTTGGTGACATTGAGTGTGGGTAGGATCATGTTTAATGAATATGCTAGGATAAGTTTTTATTATATTGTAATTGATTACATTGTATACAGCATGGGTTGGTAAACATTTTGGTAGATAGTAAACATTGGGAGTAGATAGTAAAAATTTAAGTTTTGTAAGGTATGTACAAAATGTTAATTCCCTCCTTTTCTCCACTTTCTCTTTGTCGTCCTCTTTTGTTTCATTTTTCATAACCTTTTGAAATGTGAAAATCACTCTTAGGTCAAGTGCTTGCCAAATGAGACTTGATTTTTTCTTGTAGGCTGCAGTTTGCCAACCCATGGTATATAGGCAATATTATTTATAATTACAAATACTTGATTTTGGGGTAGCTTATCACATTTAATTCTGGAACACTTCATTCTTCCATCTCTTAGGAAGCATTATTTCCAAATCTTTGTCCTTTCTTTTATTGATTTGCTTTTGCACAAACTCCTATAAATAGTAATGTTTACATTGCTTTCAATTCATTTTGCATATTTATACTTTATATCGTAGTTCTAAGTTCACATCTTTGTATTATTTGTTTCTTAGCACATTAAACTATTTCTTTATAATACTTATCACAAATGAAATTAATTTATTTTTGGTATAATTGAAAGCTTTGTTCATCCTTTAGATTTTCCATTAGCACAGTAAGATGGCATACAGTGGGTACTCAGTAAATATGATGGTAGAATTATTCTATATTTCAATAAAAACTAAGAAAGCCTGTGTCTTGTTCACCCTGTAATCCCAATACTTAACACAGTGATTGACACTTTGTAAGCACTTTATACATACTTGTTGAATGAATGAAGTACTAATGCATTGCTTTTAATGTAAAGAATCACTGCCACATAGATATGGGTTGGTTTAGGATTTTGTAACATTTGAACAGATGTAGCCTAATTAATATCTTGGTCTTCAGAATCAGAATGCTTTGACTGGTACTCAAGTCATTAATTAGACCTGGAGCAATTGATCTAAACTCTTGATACCTCAGTTTTTTCATCTGTGAAACGGGGAAAGTAATTTTACACTATTTAGGGTGCCTGAGGAATAAATAATGTATCTATTCATTTAATAAATATTTGTTGAATTCCTCTTTTACCTTACTCTTGGATATACTGGGGAACAAATAGATGCCTATTCTTGCTTTCATGGAACTATGGGCACGAAACAATCACTTAAATATAATCAGAAAGCTCAAAGGTATTATTACAGTAGTGACAAGGCTAACAAAGGACTCAGAGTATTATGAGACCTATAATAAAGGCATTTGAATTAGGTCAGGAGAAGCTTTTTTTTTTTTTATTTTTTTAAAGATTTACTTATTTATTCATACAGAACTGGGGTACAGGCCAGAGATGTGGAGGGTGAGAGGATTCACCAGAGACAGAGTGAGGTACAGAACAGGCAGATCGACGAAGTACACTGGGAGCAGCGGGCGGGTCAGGAGAGGTCTGCCGCGCTATGTGGATCTCCTCCAGGGCAGGTGGGGATCGAACTCATGCGGAAGTGGCTTAAGCTTCTTTGTGCTATGCTTTAACCCACCGTGCCACCAGGGAGGGCCCCATATATTTTTCTTTCTACTGAAGTGTTAATATTGCTAGTAAGGGGAGGCTAAAAAGTATCAATGTGGACTGGTTGGAAAAGACTTTTACAGAAAAGGTTGATATTTAAAGTAGATTCTAAGGTACAGAGACACTTTGGGTAGTTCTAGAGAAAGATGGGGTTTGGAAATCATGTGCAGAAGAGCAGCATTGATAATGTGTAAAGGCTTCTGGCATTACCATGGTGGCTAACCCTCCCCCAACCATTGCAGCTGCTTCTATGGTTTGTGTATATGATCAATATTTCACATTGTGATGAAGAGTGAGAAGGGAATGGTTAATGTGCTTCTAGCATATGATATCTATCAATATGGTACTGGGAGATGTTGCTGAATTTGAAATCATACCTGTATATATATAT